GGCAATCTTTGCAGCGGTGCGCTTCTCCAGATTGGCCTAAAAGGTCTCATTGGAGCCACTCAACTGTGCCGGGTTCAGGTTGGTGTCCAAAAGGTGGGAGAGCTCAGGCTGATATCCCAACACCCATTGCGAAGGAGAGAAGCCAGCAATCGATGGTGTACCATTCTGTTGAGGAATGATGTGCGTGATGGCCTCTCGAACGCCTTTCTTGTTGTCGAGCTTGCGGTCACTGAGATAGACCTCAATAGCTTTGCGAAGCACTGCATGCCGGCGTTCTACCAAAGCAAGTCGCTCGTGAGCTTCACCAGGGGCAACTTGATGTTCAATACCCCATGACGTAGTCCAAGTCTCCATGGAAGCTCCAAGCCAGGACCGTCCTTCATCGGTCACCAAGATCTTGGGTGGCCCAAAGTGCCTGAGCCACATTTTCTCAAGTGCCATGACATAGGAGTCGGAGGTCTCATCGTCCAGCAGGTAGGCAGCCATAAAGCGAGTCGCCACATCAACCAGGCTCAGCACAGGCAGTTTTCGGTCGTTGACCTTCAGGTAGAAGACATCGGCCTGGATGACGTCGTTGAAGTTGCGACTTTGAGGCATTGAGGCAGGAGCCACTTCATTGGGCTTCTTGTACTTGGCGCATGCAACACATTGATACTTCCGAGCTGCTTCAACCACGGTGGACGTCGCTCCTCTGGCCACGAGCAGATCGGCCAGTGCTTCGGGAGTCGGATGACCCAGATTGCGATGCAATCGTTGTACTGTTCGAAGAGCGTCAGTGCGGTGCTCAGCATGAAGCTTGACAAGGTGTCCAGCAGCTTTCGTGGTGCTCACGGCATGTGCCATCTCCCAATGTTGAGGTAGTTCAGGTTGCATGATTGCTGCAGCCAAGGTTGCCGCAAAACCAGGTTGGTAGTCTTCCATGTATGCGGTTCTGGAACCTAGGCCAGGTGCGCTTCCTTCAAGGCGGCAGTGTTCATGATCATGTTGACATAGGAGGCGCATAGCTTCAGCGACTGCCTTCTTGGTGGTCTGGATGCGCGTTGGCTTCTGAGTAGGCTTCCATGAACCATCAACATCAAGACACTGGGCTCCATAGCGACATTGATCGAACTCAGCAGCATAGCCAGGGAGGGTTCGCAAGGCAGTGGTCTTCCAGCTGAGGGCCAAGCGAGGTTGTTCCAAGTGACAATGTCGTGCGCCCTCAACTTGATTCATGTAGATCTTCTTGCAAAAGCGCAAGTGCCGGCGATGGTGGTGCTCTCGACTGGCAATGAGGGCTTCTCGTTGAGCATCAGTGCGACAGGCCAAAGTCTGCATCCTCGACCATAATTTGCACGCAGGAGCCAGGAGGATCTCGTCGGGCATCTCTTCGAGCTGTTTCTCGAGGAGGAGTCGCTGATGGTCGAGCAAGTTGAAGTCCCAACCATTGTCCAGGCTGAAGCGTTCAACACGCATGCCCATAGACTCCGCCAGTTGTGACGTTCTGCTGCGGCCACAATAGACCTCCCATAAAACACGTTGTGCAGGAGCTTCGCTGTGCAGTTCTTTGGTGACATAGGCCTCAAACTGATTGGCGGCAGTGACCAAGCCAATCTCCATGGTGTGCAATTGATGACGTCGCAATGGTTGATACGACAGTCCATTGTCTTCCAACAGCTGGTCGCCTGCAAGGAAGATGTGCTCCATCTGGTTGAAGTCGTGAAGGAACAATTGACTTCCAGGTACTTCTTCAGCGATGTTGAGCACGAAGGCGGCCTTTGTAGGATCTGGCACTGGATCCATGCCAGTCGTGAGAGACAACAGATACTCACCATGTCGGCCTCGAAGAACTGGGTGCCAAGGAGATGCACCAAAGCGAACCTGCTTTCCACTGAAATCAATCCCCATATGAAGGGCCTCAATGACTGGCCTTCCCATCAACATCGGAGTGTTGCCGGGGATCAGGTAGCATTGGATGGTGCCATACTGCCCATCAATCATGACCGGAAGGTCAACAGTCCAGCGAGCAGAAGAAGAGGCATCGCCACCAAACTGAAAGTTTCTCTCACAGCGAGCGAACCTGATGGTGTTCACTGGATATCCGAGCTCGCTCAAGTGTTCCACATAGCGCTTGAAGGGGCCATAGCCGCTCAGAAAGGCGGAAGCACCAGGATCCAACATCGTTGCTTCGGGATGATCTTGTCCATGCTCATCCTGGAAGAGAACCAATGCGGTTTCCGAAGCAACAGCCATGCCTTCAGTCGTCGAACTTGGAGCTGGACGCTTGTTGCTGGGTGATGAGCTCCCTTTGGCATTCTGTGGACATGAGGCGGCCCAATGGCCAAGTTGGCCACAACGGAGACATGTCATAGAAGCAGTGGCAGCTTTTGCTCTTCCTTTGGGATCAGCCTTGCCTCCTGATGACGGAGGGTAGCGAATGGTGTTGGAGCCCTTCCCCTTCGACTTGGACTTTCCTTTTCCTTTTCCACGGCCTTTGTCATGACCTTTTCCTCGACCTGTTGGCGTGGTAGAGGATGATGAGGCAGCGGTTTGACCATCTGTCAATGCGACCACTGGCAAGTAGCCGCGAGCAAGCTTCAATTGCTGGAAGCGCTGCCGAGCGTCCACGTAGGTGGCATATGCAGAGTCGTAGGCCTCGGCCATGGAAGCAGCATCTTCGTCATAGCCATCGTAGTCGTCATTGAATTCATCTTCTCCTCCATAGTAGATGGCTTCATCATCGAAGGCTGCATCCTCATAGTCGGGGACGTAGGGCTCTTCAGCCTCGTACCATTCATCTTCATAGTAGGCCTCGTCCCAGTTGGATTCATTGGGCTCTTCGTCGAAGGCAGCATAGCCTCGTCCTTTCCAGCGAGCTTGTGGTCGGCGATCAGGTGACCATCCACCGGCCTTGTAGTCCTGACCATAAAGGAGGAAGAGAGCTTCAATCACGTTGGGCTTCTCGAGTGTTGGAGCCTTTAAGGTCACCATCTGTCGTTGCTCTCTGGTCAGGCCGGCTCGTTTGAGCAAGTGCCAACCTTGGACTTGGCTGGGCAATGTGATCTTGTGGCCGGTGATCTTGCGATAGGCCTCATCATGATCGGTCACGAAGGACAATAAGCTCTGCTGACTTTTCCGCTGGAGGTTGGTGAAGTAGTTCTCGAAGTCATTCGGCAAGAGGACGCGATCGTCATACTCAAAGTTGCGGTCCAAGCGGGATAGGACCTTGCTGAAGGCATCTTCCTTCTCGCAATCCTCGACCGGGAAGTCCTCAAAGAGGCGCCAGACAACTCCGGTGAATGACCCGATGATGTTCAGCACGGCCTCCCCTCCTCGTTTGCTCAAAAGCATCTTCTTGTGATAGAGACTGAGCCTTTTGCGGTATTCTTTGTACTCTGCAGGCTGGCCATTGAAGAGGGGGACAAAGGAATCTCGAAGATTCTGAAACTCCGCCGTTTGCGGATCTGCAGCCTGCGTCGGTGGTGGCATGGTGGAAGCACTCAACCAAAGAGCAACAGAGCGAGGTCAATCTCGCGCTCGGTTAAGTGTGGGTGACGTAGGGCTTAAGCAGGACCTCTAGCAAGTGCAAGCGAAGGTCGCTGGAGCCGGAGCTCCGCTACCAATGCAAATGTGGTAGTCGCGCTCGAAGTCGACCAGCAAACGAAAACACACGGCACGCGAGGCGCCGAACAGCGCAGCCCTTTTCCAAGGGCGAAGCCCACCCGCCTTGAGTGGGACAAGTTGCGGTCGGTCGAAAACCTGAGTCACCTGTGCATGAACGGGGTTGAACAGCGTTCAACTGACAATATATATATATATAGTTGACTTACTAGTTAACTTGATGATCCGGGTTCTCTCTGGCAGTCGGGCAACCCCACACTACATAAGTAGCCAAGCCGAGGGGCCCCAGGTGCTGAACCATTGCAGCACATCGGAGTGGTAGAGACGTCCCAAGGGCTTCTCCACCCTGAGGCAGACAACTTCATCAAGCCATGGATTGGTCAAATTCTGATCCAACTCGAATCAGCTCCAGAGGTCTTAGAGGGACCCGAACGAAGTCACTGTGCATTGTGTTCCACATGTTCTGCACATGTGCGTCTTCGCAGGTTCTGCGTTTTTCTTCGTCTCGACTACAGCGGAGACTGGTCCTGCCCTGCCTCTCTTCGGCCATGCTGGTCTCACCGATCGATCCTTTTAGCCTCGGCCCAGCGGTTCTCGAGCAAGTTCGCCCAGCGGTTCTCGTTTTGTTCAGACCTTTGAACTGTTGTTTTCCTTTAGTTAATGAATGTTAATGCTATTGTGGTAGAGAAGCGGGCAAATGAAAGAGGAAAAACACATTGTCAAGACGCTTCAGTTGATCTTCGATGCTACCTCACTCACCATCCTCTTTCGTTGCCTTAATGTGTTCCGTTGGGCCTTCTTCACATATCACATCGTCGCTTCCTTGAGGCACACTCAAGGAATCACATCACTTCAGATTCAACATACTTCAACCATCTTCAACCAATCCCAGCAGAACAACATGAACCAATCACTCACCATGACATGACTCACCACACAAGGAACTCCCAGACGGTCAACCTTTAGAACTCCCACCGAGCTGCACGGCCGACATCGCGACATCATGGCCGCTTGGGCCAACCAACGGCGGCGATCGCGCGGATGGCCGAGTGCCGTGTCGCCGTATGTCGCCGACGCGCCGAACCGACCTGCCGTTCGAGGCCTTCGGGAAAGCCCGACGCCTTCGGGCCCCCAGAAGGAAGTTCTTATTAGTGGTTGGCTTCATGGCTTGATTCACATGGGTTTGATTCGTGGCTTGGATGCCAACTGAGTATGGGGGCCCGAAAGATGAGTGAGTTGCAAAAGGCCAGTCAGGTGGCTCCCGAAAAACGGCGATCGAAACGTTCTTGTGGCCTCACTGATCATGGCCACACTGATGGCCACCACCATTTCTTGTGCCCCATCCACCATATCTCCACCTCCATTGATCATCATGGATCCATCTTCCAATCCATGCCCGCCTGACTCCCATCATCTTGGACCATTCGTCGATGGCTTCGCATGCCTTTTTGGCATCTTGCCAGGCCTGCGATCGGTAGTGGGCAAACAAATCAATCGGCACGGAGGAGGAGAAGGAGGAAGGAAGGAGGAGGGAGGAGGGAGAAAGGATGAGGAGGGAGGAGGAGGAACACACAGGACCATCCGAACCCACTTCCAGGAGATGCATCAGGCAATCCAAGTGATGGTCGCGGTCGGATGGTACGCAGCCTTCGTGATGTCCAGCGCCCCCAGCCCCCCAATCCAAGCCCCTCGTTTCGGCGATCAAAGTCGCCCCATCCTGAATGGCCGTGTCAAAGTCGCCGCGCTTGGCGTAGAAGGAAGCCATCTGGGAGAATAACTTGACTCCTCAAGTGGCAAACAGCAGCAAAACCTGAAAACACCATGCCATAATTACTGCTCTCCCGGGGCTCTCCCCCCAAAAAAATAACGTGCTGGCGACCCTTGAAAGCAGATATGGAAAGAGATCTCAAGAAGTTGCACATCTTCCAACATCTTTCACAAATGTTCCCAGTGCCCTAAAGTTTGCCCTCAAGGCTGTCAAATGCATCTTCTTCTGGCCAAGTGAACCCCTGCAGCGGCCACCACATGTCCCACTCGACTCCGACTTCTCCTGTGTCCGTCTCGATGGTCCTTGGCTCACAGAGTCATACGCCCTGGCTATAGAGGAAACATGGAACCTGAAAACCACTGGGTTGTAGAGAAAAAATCATCTTCCAAAGGCCCCATTTTAAGGTTCCATCTTCATCTTCTCGCACCACTTCCCCGAAAGATCCAGCCCCCACATGGTCCAATGCCCCGTCCATCCAAGGCGCCCAGTGGCTTCGCGCACCTCCCGCGCCCGCGCGAAGAGCCGCGCCGCCTCCTCGGCCGCCTCGCGACCCGCGTGGAGCTCGGCGGTCTTCGCCAGGAGCCGCGCGCCCGCCTCGCAGACCTGGGTCCAAGGTGGACACTCCCCACACTCCCCACTCCACGGTCCAAAATGGATGGCACGGCCACGGGGATCATGAGCGCACGACCGCTCGCCGCGGTTCTTTTCTTGGCTAAAAAAGGGCTTCGTATGGCTTCATGCCTTCACAAACTTGGTACACTTCTTGATTTAAGTGCATGTTCCTGCACTCTCAAACTAGGTACACTTCTTGATTTGTGTGCACCTCTTCTCAACCAAAACTACGGTACACTTCTCTGTTTGTGCACCGGCACTCCCCCTTTGGCCAAAATGGCCAAATTTCGGTGCCCACTCTAGGCTTGGAAAACAAGACCCTTTTGGTCTTCTTTCAAAATGGTCATTTTGACCCTCAGCTCAAACCCCCCTTTCTCTCAAGCCCGGGCGTCCTGAAGAGCGTGTATCCGACCCACGTGTTGGGCAGATAGGAGCTTCTCTTCCCCTGTCTCCTGTCGACCAGGATGTACTTCTCCTTCCTCAGGGTCGCCCAGGCAATCGTCAGCCTCCACGGCAGCCACTCTCGCTCGTCCCAGAGATGCGGGTTCTCGAAGTCGAACATCCTCTTCCTCTCCTGGACATGTTCACGGATCGTCACCTTTCCCCCGTCAGGCAGATCCTCGATCGTCAGCCACGTGTCCTTCGCTGCCGTCCTCTTCGGTGGAATCCCCACCTTCTTCCGCAAGGCCGCCGTGAAGAATCCCGGCTGGAAGAGCTCGTCCCGCAGGAAGTCCCACACCTCCTCATTCCATAGGGTCCACTTCCCGACCGTGATGCCATCGCCGACCGGTGAGATGAAGTTCAATGCTTCGCTCCTCATCCCGATTCCCTGACTCTCCATGGCTGTCACTTCGGATGCGATGGACCTGGAATCTGCTGCTCCTCCCGTCTTATCTCTCTCCTCAGTCTCATCATCTTCAATGCCCGGTGCCCCCCTCGATGCCGATGATATAGTGCCTTCCTCCACCCCCTCGGCTCTCTGTGTTACCGAGGTCGGCTGTCTTCGGTCCGAGCCGTGTTCGTTGAAGATCACATGAGTGCCCTCCGAGTCCATCATGATCCATGTCCCTCCAAAGTTCTTCCTAGGGCCACGTCTCTCCATCATCCGATCCCAGGCTGACATACCCAGGCCCAGGCTCGCTCTCCTTTTCCTCTCTGCCTCCGGGTCATAGGGTCCACGATGCCATAGGTCAGGATCGGGTTCCGGATGGCGTCCAGCTGATTCAGGTCGGTTTTTGGAGATGGTTGGCCAGTTCCACTGCCTGCCTCTGATGTCTGCCCAGAGTTCGCTTCTGGAACTTGGCGTTGACCTGAGCCTACCCTCATCGTTCTCATTGAGATCCGGCTCACAGGTGTCCTGGTTCCCAACTCCTGTCTTTGATAGAGCGGGTCATCAGGCTCCGCCCACGGGTAAGCTTCCTCATGAGCCGAGTATCCGAACCCTCGGTTGCCCCTGCCGGTCTCGCTCAAGTCCTCCACCGGGTGCACCCCAACCTCCAGGATGCGCTCCACCACCAGTTGGGCAATTCGGTCCCCCTTGTAGACTCTGAGGTCGTCATCGGACCAGTTCCTCAGCAGGACTTTGACCTCCCCGCGAAAGTCCCTGTCCACAACTCCAGCGCCCGTTTCGATGCCCCGGATTGCCAACGATAACCTCGGTGCAATTCGTCCGTAGGTTCCCGGTGGAAGTTCCATGGTAATTCCAGTCTTGATCAGGACACTCTCCCCCGGTGGAACCAATGTCTCAATAGTCGAATACAGGTCCAGCCCGGCTGCATAGTCAGAGCCTCTAGTCGGGAGTCGTGCTTCTGGGTTCAGCAGTTTCACCTTGACCTCCTCCTTGGGCTTGAACCACCGCTGAATCCCTGATGTTCCCACTCTGAAGGCGATGTCCACTCAATTGGACTCACCTCCACATGTTGTGGGTTGAGATGGATCTTTTTTTTCGGCTGCTCTGGCTCTCTGGCGCTCGTCTCTGAAGGGCATCTCGTTTGAGGAGGCGGGGGGATAGTGTTTGCGTGTCAGGGGCAGAGTCTGCCCTTGACAGGTAGTTGATCAGAAAGGGCTGTTGGCCTAATGGATAAGGCGTCGGCCTCCGGAGCCGGAGATTTCCGTCTCTGCGATTGGGCCAAGAACTTCTGGATCTCTTCCGTCAGCTGCTGTGACGGTTTCGGGTGGTGTCCGTCGTCGGACGACCCCTCATCCGGCTCTTCCCGGATGGCAGAGCACTTGTGGCATCTGTTGCGGAAGCATAAGTTCCCTGACCAACAGCGGCTACACCACCAGCTGTCAGGCCGTTGCAAGACCTGACTGAGGACTGTCTCAGTCCGAAGCCGCTTGGCCTCGAGGAGGTCCGCTCTTGGCGTACCTGGCCATAGACTCCCAGCGCTCGCCGCAACGCTCTCCTTTGATCCAGCCCCAGGTTCAAGTCCTGGGCAGCTCACTGTTTTTGCTCCCTTGAAGTGCGGAGGATGTCGACCCCACAATCTTCTGCTTAGGAGGGAGGCGCCTTATCCATTAGGCCACACGAGCCACGATGCATTGATTGGCTCTAAGGCTGGCCATGATGCACACCACGTGGTTCAAGTCCTGGGCAGCTCACTGTTTGTGCTCCCTTGAGGTGCGCAGGATGCTCTAGTGGTAACTCCGGCTCGCTGTGGCTAAAAATTCTGCAAGTTCATGATTGATGATGTGAGGTTTGCATATCTGTGCACCATGTCTTGAGACCCCTTCATCAAAGTCAGATTGCTTTCTTCCCTCCAACAGGTTGGTAGTGCAGGCCACGTGCCCAAGGATGAAAAGGAAGCAGAAGCTAGGGGCGCCTGGCCTCAATACTGGGAGCAAGAGCTTGGTAAGGAGGGGGCCTGAAGCGTGGATATGAGACCAAGCCACATCCAGGTTAGATGTTTGCAATTCATTTGAGCAGTGCTGGGGATGAGTTGTACGCATCCAAGTCTTTCTTGAGGAGCGTTTGTGCAGTTGGCCACGTGGTGTGCGGCCTTAGAGCCAATGCATCGTGGCTCGTGTGGCCTAGTGGATAAGGTGCCTCCCTCGAACGGCATCTTCCCTTGAGGAGGCGGGGGGATGGTGTTTGCGTGTCAGGGGCAGAGTGTGCCCTTGACAGGTAGTTGATCAGAAAGGGCTGTTGGCCTAATGGACAAGGCGTCGGCCTCCGGAGCCGGAGATTCCAGATTCAAGTCCTGGGCAGCTCACTGTTTGTGCTCCCTTGAGGGACGTGAATGGTTGGTGACAGTGGTCATCGTAGTGTGAGTGGCAATGAGGGTTTTTTGTGGTGGTAGCTGCAGTGGCAACGAAT